TGTGTGTGTGTGTGTGTGTGTGTGTGTGTGTGTTTTGGTTATTTTTATGAAACAACTCATTTTCTTGTCTTGTTGAGACTGATAATGAATTGTTCCCTTCTGAGTGGTGCCGTCTGAGTGTAATTAGTTAATGACTCAATGAATGAATGATTTGAATAAATAAATTAATAAATCAAACTCTACATGATTTCTCTACAACAGGGAGCTGTCAGCAGACGTCACCAGGTGGAGATGAGCTGTGTGGTCCTGCAGTCGCTGGTGTGGAGTGGAGGATAAAGAGCAGCTGACAGAGAACCCGTCTGTAGAGGTGATGAGGACTCTGGGTTCTATCAGTGAGGAAGTCTTGACCAAATGTAACAAGTTATAGCTGGTCATTCTTTTTCTGTGACCACACTCAGATTGATAAGCAGGTACTTTGTGTCCTGGTATTCTTAAATTTGTCATCTTCTAAATGACTTCACTTCAAACACTGACAACAGAAACAGCTGGTTTTATTTTAGCACATCCAGTCAGAGCAGATAGAACCAGCTGACAGATCTGTCTGCTTTCTGCTTCCTGGACACCAAACTCTTCCTGCKGACATTAAGCTCTAAAGACAGTAAAAAGGACAGTGCAGGAGCTCTGTAACACAGTTGACAGGATCTGTCCCTGCAGCTCACCTCCCATTTRCTGTCCTGGGTTTTCCTCCTCAGCTGGATGTTCCAGTTCTCTGAGTCCACCTCGGCACAGTGGGCAACTGTCATGGCAACAGGGCAAAAGAGATCCATGCCTGGAGGACCGTACGTCACCTCTGGACCCAGGAGGATTTCACAGCTTCCCACAGTTTGGAGACTACACAACAGAAAAGCACAAACACACACAGAGAATGCAGTAAAATGCTACAGGAGTCACCTCAGTGGGTTTTCTGTTGGAATCTCACCAACACATTTTACAGCCTGTGCTAATAAGTAGTTCATGTCTCCTGGACATGCAGGTAAAACTCTCCATATCAAACATGTGTTCATGTCTATAAACCTGTTGTCTCTGCTTTTCTTCCCTCTTTGTGTTTCTGTAGTTAGAAAAACAAGAAACTAATGAACACAGGTTGGTCAAAACCCCAACACAGGTTTACTTCCAGGTCAGTCTGCCTCTGAATGGACAAGTCCTGGACTTCTGCTCTGAAGGTCCCGGCTGTTACCAGGGTCCTGCTGGATTYACTTCTAACCAAGCTCAATTACAGTTTTAAGGCTTTTGCACAGCTCAAAACCAGCTCATTAAAAACAGCTTAAAACAAACAGGTGAGTGCTGGCAGCAGAGGTCAGCTTTTAGATACAAACAAACAAATAAACAAGCAAAACAGAAGCTACTGTGTGTATATGTGTGTGTGCTAGTGTGTGTATATGTGTGTGTGCTAGTGTGTGTATATGTGTGTGTGCTAGTGTGTGTATATGTGTGTGTGCTTGTGTGAACATGTCTTTGTTACCTGGTGGGGATGATTTTTGATCATTTTCCTGGCACACAGCCTGGTGAGGACAAACTGTTCCTTATGGGGACAAAAGCCTGGTGCCCACTGAGGGAAATACTGTTGAATGGGTCAGGGGTTGGGTTTAGTCAAGGTTTGAATTGTGTTTAGGTTAGTTTTAGGGTCAGTACCTGTGAGGTTAATCATTATTCTCAGAAGTCAGAGCAGAACCCAGAAAGCCACATTTACACTAATAAGAACCTGACGTGTGGATCTAAGGTTGTGGATTTTTTGTGTGGCAATGAAGAAACCGAATCACGTCCAAGTGGGTAATGGAACAMAGTGCAGTGTAAACGATCAGATCATTTTTATTTAATGCCTGGTTTGCCAGGCATCTAGAAATCTAGCTCCATGTCTTCTTCAGGTTCTGAAAAAGTCTAAAAACTCTCTCCTGGTTTGTCTTCTTCAATAATTACTGAAGCCGTCTCCGTCACTTTAAATGGTTTTTGTGGCAGCCGTTCAGAAACAGTTCAGGCATAAAGAGCAGCGTGAGAGTAGCTTCCCCCTGCAGCCTCTGCAGCTACGTGCTGAGAGGAAGAGTCTCTGTGGWGCATTTAGTGAAAATGGAACAGACTGTTTTTTCAGCATTTTGGTTTTCTGTGATACGACCTTTTCATTAAAAACTAGATTAATAACGTGATACAAAGAAAGAAAATAATTATTCTTGTGCCACAACAATTCAAGTTAATTGTGTGTTCTGACTGATATAATTATTTTTCATATTTCTAAACACAAAACTTGACAAAAGAAATGTAAAAAAGCTGTGTCAAATGTATTAATTTATTCAGGAAACATATAAAAGGAGCTGACCCATCATCAGATCTGCAATGTTACTCTCATGTCAACAGTGTGCACACACAGAAAGGTTGAATGTGTCATTTTGGATTTTTAGTTGAACCCCAAAGTACAGACTGAAATAACTCTGTGATCCAAAGYACTGAAAGGGCAGCAAATATTTACAAAAAGTGGTACTGGAACAAGAAACATGAAGGGTTGTGGGAATACAACACAATACAACACAATGTAGTACAATCAGCAGATTAATTCAGATCAGGTGTGATGATACCTAAGGCTACACACAAAAAGAAACTGACTCCTGCTCATAAACGGCTGCATTAAGCCTGATGTGTGATTCAGCAGGTTCAATAAAAGAACCTATTGAAGCAGGAAACTGGGAGTTCCACACAGACACTATATCACAGCCTTACATCACATGCTGTACTGTCTGTCTGCTACAGGAAGAGCCCACTCCACAGAAATAAGCACCAATCTTTCTAAAACCCCTTAAAGCCACAGGCTTCATTGGTTCATGTGTCTGGAACAACAGAGTTGGGAGTAATTGTTGAAGGGGTGAGCAAATCGATCTAAATATAGATGGTATTAAWACAATTATGAGTGATACAAACATGATGATATCAATATTTCTGTTAWCACTTTATTTGATTTTTTCACAAAACRTGAAAAATAAAGTCAGTAGTGCAGAGTCAACATGGTTTGGAGTTAATCGTCAGTCAAAACCACTCATGCCCACGTTCACTGGAAGGTTTTGTAGTTTTTGACATTGTGTTGAAATTTTTGTTNTTGTTACATTGTTGCTTTTTTAACTGACTTTAATAGGTAAAAGGGGAATTATTTTATAAATTTTCTACCATTAACTTGTTTTATRTTTTGATGTAGTAAATACAGAACACTTTTATTTGCCTGTTCTGTGTTTTATAATAATCAGTTAACCAAAAGAAAAATCACATGAATTTTTTTTTGAAAAAAAAAAAAAAAGAATATTTAACAAACATGACGTTTCAACAGTCAACAGTCAGCATATCAACAGTCAGCCCTGTGTTTACTTGCTATAGAACTGATGCCAAGTTTCCCCATATCTCCCACCATTCTGAATGATGTGCAGCTGCTAGAGAATGTCTCCAGTGGAAGAATTGTTTCCAGTGATCACATGACCTGCTGGTACATGATGCCCAACTTATCCGGTTTAAAGTACCAGGGCTGCTGTTTGGACCTCTGGGCTGAAGGAAAACTAGGAGYCATGTTCTGGTATCAGTTAGTCCTCAACATGATGGGGTTCCTTCAAAACAGAGCCTTTCAGAGCAAGCTTTCATAGTTCCACATCAGTTAGGATGTACAAAGAAAATGTGCTTTGATCCAAGCTTGCACGCAGTTTCTTAAATCTGAATATTTTGGTGTGTATTTTGACTGAGTATGAAAGTATTGAAGCTGTACACTCTTTCGTATAAAGCCCCTGATTTGAGCAGTTCAGCTTTTTTCCAACTCAGAGTTACTGCTGAACTGAGGTCTTCTTTTAAAGGCCTGGAGAAAGTTATTCATGTTTTAATCACTCTGTAATTACCTRTAGAYTGGTTTACATAAATCATCTCTGCATCACATCCGAACCGTCCAAACTGCAGCAGCTGGGACAAACCAAGTGAGAAAATACACCTGTTTTTTCTTTATAGGCCTAATTAAAGTTGTATTATTACTTCATGCCCCACCACATWTAACTGATCATCTTCAACTTGACACACCTGTAAGAAGAATTCCAGCCCACCAGCCAGTTTCTTGTAGACGACTCAAAATCCAGATTAAAATCTGAAACAAAGGTCATCTTTGGTTCTGTCTCCCCTTCAATATGCCCAATTCAGACRTTTGAAATCTATTGAATACCTCCTAAAGACCCATCTGTTTATTTTTGTTTTTGATCAAAACACAGCAGAAGATTTTACATAGTTTATTACCCGTTTATTTTTGTTTTATATTTTAAAATGTCTCATATTGAGATGTTGTCTGGTWAAACTGTGAATCACTTTGATCAACCTCACTTGTTTTGAATGGGTTATACAATCTCAATTTCAATGAAATTGTTTTTCCTGTCCCAGCTTTTGTAGAACGTGTTGCAGCATTAAATACAAATCWGTTATAAATCATTAAAGTTTATTTCAACATTGAATAACAAGCCTTTGTATTGTATTCAGTTGAAAAAGCAACTCATTAATCCCAAAGGGAAATTAAATGTTGTAACTCGTATTATCCTGGTTTCTGATGTTATAGATACTGATGGCTGTGGGCAGGAAGGATCTCCTGTCTGTTTTACAGCAGATCTGAAGAAGCCATGACTGAAGACACTCTGTTGCAGTGTGGCAGTCTGATGAAGAGGATGCTCAGGGTTGTCCATCAAATAGTCAGAAARCCTGGCAGGGAGACGCTGGCTTGAGTCAGGGATATAATCCTGTAGCCATGTTTCAGCGAAACAATAATACTGTATTCTTGATACATTGGCTGGGTTCTTGTTAGGGCTTGGAGTTCATCCAACTGGTTCCCCAATGATCTCACATTGTCCATCATGCTCATTGGAAGAGATGGTTGAAATTTCTCCTTTACTCTCTCCTTTTTTGCTCCTGCTCTGCATTCACAAAGCCTCCTTTTCAACTCATTTCTATACATACAAATTTGTTGAAAATGATTTGCAAATCATCATATTGTTTTTATTTAAGTTTTACAACAGCCCAACTTCATTGGAATTGGGATTGTATAAAATACTGACAATGATATTGATAATAAGTCTAAAAGCCTGTCATGGGTTGGGGCTTGTGTCGTGGTTCATCTTGGCAAAGGAAAGATATTCCAGCAACATTTGTCACATCTCCTGATGCTCAGGTTGCTGCAGGTTCTGCCAGTCAGCAATCAGTTTACTCCCACTTCATCCCTCCAGCTTGGGGTCAGTCTCTTTTAGACGTACCTTCTGGATTTCAAATTCCAATTAGATTTAGATTTACCCTCAACATACCAAACACATGCAATGCAATTCTATACAACAAATTGCTATTTAATAGAGTGGAGAACACACGTGACTTAAGTGCAGATATATGACTACCCAGTCACTCTGCCACTTTAACTTATCATGCCAAATCTCTATCTGATTTGATTTGATTTATTTATTTAACAGGAAAAGATTATTAAAAATC